TGAATCACATTTGACACAGAATTTCCCATAGGATGTTGTTTTGTTTTCACTCAACGATACATATATGTTTGCATGAGATGCCCCCAAACTCAATCTTGGAAACAAAAGACATCATGGGACAGCCGTTCTTGACAAGCAATTTGGATGCGGTTGGCATCCGGATGACCAGACTGGTTTAAAAAAAACAAGAAAAAACACAAAAACACATTATATTCTAGGGGTGGCTCTTTTCCTCGGGTAAACATCGCATTTCACGGGTAAACACCGCATTTCACGGGTAAACACCGCATTTCACGCAAACTTCACGGGTACTTCACGCTATTTCACGCTCAAGAATCTAAAGATTTTGGGGGGTTTGTCTGGTTTTTCAGTGGCCACACCGAGTTACCGATTTTTTTGGACATTAATCTGGGGCATGAGCTTCTGGCAGTGGTATATGTCCAAACCGTTTAAGGTCCCATGTTTTGCCCGTGAACTCTGACAGTATATTTGCAAATAGGGTTCCTTGATTTGTTTCCTGTCCGTAAATTCAATACCTGTAGGATCTTGTAGGTTTCAAATTCAGTTCCAAGGGCCCTACATGCTGGGAAATTGGCATGATAAATACATGTATGATGATTTTGCACTTCATTGCGCTTCCAAGGTCCGTAGATTTCTTCACAGGGGTTAAACATCGACATTGGGAATGTCGATGTTTAACCAACCCAAACATCAACATTGTCCGCGTAGGAGGTAAACTTCAACATTGACGCCCAGGGTATATATATCCCATTTCTGTCTCTCTCCCTCTCAACAAGTTCGAGAGAAGCTTGAGGTAAAGGAACCTCACGGAACCTCTCACCTCCATCCAAGTGATGTCAATATCTACTGATGGATCACCTGGATTCACTTGGAAACTCAACCCTTCAATCAAGTCCAGAAAGGTTGAAGCGTGGCACATTACTAACAAGCACCTTGACGCTTAAACCCCAATTTCAGTCAACTTCATCCCTAAGGCCACTTACCGATCTTGCAGTAACAGTTTCCAAACGGCCTTGAAATCTGCTGGAGGCAGTGAGGCAACTGAGGCCACTGACTCCGAGGCTCTGCAAGCACGATTTGCTAGGTTTTGCATAGTATACCGCGCCAGCCTTCGTTGCATCATTTGCAACGACTGCTGGGGACATGCTACGCAATGCTGTGCACAACCACTGCAGACTGTTGTGAGCAAAATGTTATCAAATCCCGATATATCCCGATATCAATTTGCTTTGAAACACAACGCCAAAAATTCAATCCATTCTTGCATCGGTATAGCATCTAAGAGTCTGGCCGCCACACTGCGCTTCCGAAAATCCTGCTCCGTCCTTGGCCGAACAAAATGCTCATGCTACAGATTTTCCAAGGATGGTAGCATCCTCCGGATGCATGGCTTCAGACTTGGCAAAGAATGATGCTCGGGGACCCAGCGCGGTGTGCCGCAGTTGCAGATTGTCTGCCATCAGCCAATCCTTTGCCCTGTGCCATAGGAGCATTTAGGAGCACGGAAAAGCAAGAAGAACACGGGAGTGGATATCCAATGATATCTACTGCACCACCTGGGTCTCAAATCACAGATGCTCACCATTACACCATTACTCACCAATCTCTTACGCGTTGACAGCGATCTGCCCCTTTCAACTGGCGTTGTCACTGCTGGCCTTCGCTGAGCCATAACAGAGTGGACCTGCAGCCACTGGGCATACCAAGACAGCATAGAGAGCAACAATTTTCACTTGTTGCAGGAGAAGGGATGGAAAAACTATGGAAAACCAATGGAAAACCAATAATTATGAGCTTATGGGCTTCATTGATTCGATGATTCAAGCAGTTGGCTATTTCACTGACATTTCCAAGTGCCTTTGATTGCAGGAACTAGCTTGTCATGACCTTCATGATTTATGTTGGCATGAGTATGCTTAACTTGTCAACTCGCGTCGACTCACCATCTACTATAGGTACTAGTACGAGTATCTTAATGTATCTCTGTATCTTAATACAGTACTTAGGTGCTCACCGCTGAACAGCTCAGCAATTCCACACAGTGCCAAAGAATGATGACTCGCGAGGCATGTCCACTGAATTCAAAGTGCTCGGTCCACAGTGAAGGCTTCACTCTTTGGTCAGCTAAACTCAGAGCATTCTGCCTCTTGACTGCAACATTTTGGCCAAATGGCACCACCATACGGATGTTGTGTGAGTCAGTCATTTACCATCTTCACTTACAGTAACATGCAAGCTGCTCTGATGCTGATATCTGCACCTCTGTTCGAATGTCTGGCTCCACTGCCTCTGGCGGTCGCGACTCGAACCTTATGGCAAGATGTGGTAAGAGCCCCAAGGTCTTTTGCCAACAATCCTTCACATGCGTCACGAACGTTCGATGTTAAATTATGTTCAATCATGTTATATCGCATGTTCAATTCAGGTAGCTAGAGTATCCACACGGGTTTCACTTCATTTTTAAGCTACCACTGTTCATCCAGCCCACGAATTCATAATTATGCCGTGTCTGATTTCGGCCAGTGGTTCGTGTTGTGACTTCAGCGATCCAAGGCAATGTCCCCTTCGGCAGTGGCTTGATCCTTCGCACGTGCTCGCTGCCTCGGCAAAGAACCATCGAAACAGCGTTTTTTCATATAGAAAACCGGTTCCCTCCTCAACAGACTCAGCCAAGCTAAAAGAAACAAGTCCTCGCAGTTCCTCCCCTATAGGCAGTACTCTCTCTCTCTCTCTGTGTCTCTTTATCTCTGTCTCTCCCCTCTCCCTCTCTCTCTAATCCTTTTTTGACTTCTGTTCTGGCAGATGTTGAGGGCAAAGGGCAAATCAAGCCTCAAGGCGTGCAAGGCCTACACATGTGCAGGTAAACACGCTAAGGGAGGCACTGCGCGGACTCGAGGATCTGTTCACAAGCCTTAGCCAAGCTGACGCACATCCTCAGAATGGGTGGTTTTCCACAGCATAAGATTCCAAAAATTAAACAAAGCACAACGGTCAGAGAGCAAGAGCATATGCATCGTAATCCATCTACTTATTGAGGCCCCTGCCAAACAGGCCGTGCTCTTTTAGCAAAAGGATCCTGGAGGGCCAGCTGGCAGCTCAGCACTCTAACATCCGGCCGTCAAATCAAGTAAAATGAATCAAAATGGTATGGTTCTACCAAGATTGCCCACAATTTTGCGATGAGAACCTGGTGACCGAGTGCATCCGAGTAATCACTATCCATCGCAACTTTAGGCCAGTTCTACGAAGCCAGAGCAACCCAAGCCCGTCATAATTAGGGAGCCATGCAGTATCTTCCAAGAAGTATAAGAGACATTTAATTTCACTTTGCGCATGCACTCTCAGAACATGTGGTGCGAGATGTAAATCATGAAGGAACAAACACGATTGCAACCAAACGGGAGGTATCAGCTGCATGTGGGTCTCCGCGCGCAAATGCGGTGTAAATGACCGGCCTCGTGTTGCACTGACTGACATATGACACTCCCACATTGTGGCACCACCAATGTAGTAAATGATAGTATATGAACTTATACCATTTTAATCCATTTTATGCGATTGAGCACAGGCTTACTCCCTAGAAGGGCGTCAAGTCAAATATGAGGCTTGCACAGGAATGGGCGCAATAATCCTCGGTGCGCTGGCAGTTGTGGCCAAAAAATACCGGCGTGAAATCTCCTCTGTTCATCACCCACATTGTTTCAATTGTTTCAAACGGACATTTTATGAGCTATCTTCCACGATGGGTGCAAACAAATCAAAGTTTGCTTGGAGGACTTGGTTCAAAACTTTCTAAACTCTTGCTTGCAAAGTGGATTGCTAACTCCCTCCCAATCCCTGTGGATCTCTCCCCCTCATCCCCATCATCCCCAATGAATTGCCACAGCCCACTGCCACACCCCTTTCTCGTCTCACGCATTGGACATTTGCAGCTCATCTTTGTGCTGCGCTTTTGCCTGCGATGGAGAGCCCTTCTGCACTCGGAAAGAAACTGTACTTAAGCCCTTACAGGAGTCAACATGACCTTGCTGCAATTGATTCAAGCAAAATATGCTTGGATCTGCCAGCATTTGAACATAGAACCCTGAGCATCATGCAGCGATTTGTCTTGAAAGCAGCATTTTGATTTTGAAAAGCGGAAGCCATTTAGTTGAAGAGACTGAGTAGACATGACATAAATAAACAAGAAGCAGAATCCGAACAAATATCCGTGGAATAATACCTCAATGAAAAATCCTGGAAGAATCCCATGCCCTGCCTGAAGAAATGCAAACGATGCTGCAATGGCGTAAAACACCAATGCTCCTTAGCATAGGACTCAATGACTCAATGATGCATGCCTTGAACACAAAAAAGAATGCGTTTTTGGACATGATCATCTTATGCACACGCAATACGACACCACCAAGATCACTCATACAACATCTCCGAAACACAAACGCAAACCATCGAACATCTGTACTAGATTTTGTCCTGTCAACATCTCACTCTTGCAGCTCGGTCGCCTATTGTGACCACATGATAGCCCTTCACTAGCCTCAAAAAACAAGATTTTACAGGCTTGAGAATGGACAACTCTTGAGTACAACAATTTTGGCACTGGCGGAACATGCGGCAGGTCATCCCACAAAGCGACCTATATGGAACAAAAAGAATAATTGTCTAAGAATCAAAAACCATGTAATCGTGACAAACATAATTTATAGCAGTAGAATACATCTATCTCTCTCTCTCTATCTCTCTCCAACGCCCCCGAAGGTTCAGCTAAGGCTGAAGGCGAGCTGTTGGCCAAACAAAAGGAGCCACAACGAAGGACTGGGCTGTACAAACACATGCTAGGAATTGGAATACAGATACATTACCAAATTACACCGAACTAAACAATTTGCTCTGCAAATGGCAAATGGCTTTGCACTTTGCATCAGGGGCATCATATAAAGCATTCTATAAAAATAAAAAAAAACATATCATATGTAGTGTCACATGAGATGAACAAAGATCGAAGCTTTGTCGCAAATTGAACCAAGATGCCCCAGGTGGTCGATCACCACTCCTCCCAGAAGAGGGATGAGCAGCTTTGCCAAATTTTGCCTCACAAGACATTCTGACTCTGACCACCAAAAAAAAATATGATTTGCATCATCTGTCGGATCTGTCGCATGGCACAATGATGCAATATGATGCAATAACAATCAATAACATGCATTTACCCCCTTGTAGCTGGTTGAAATCCGAGCTGCATGGCGAACTGGGTGGCACTCGCAAAGTGCTTGGCTTCTGGCACGCAGGACACAGCCTCTGTGCAAGTGGATTCTTGATGCAGGAAGAGGACATAAAACGCACAAAAGATAAAAAATCATGAAAGGCACGGCACGAAGGGATACTGTATATATATAGTTAAAAAAAAACAGCAAATGTCAGTAATTTCGTTCAAATTCAGAAGCTCTGCGGGACACGCAATTTCCTGCCAAGGGTCAATGCCATTGATGGCAGCAGTAGGAGCTGCACCGAAGAGCAGCAAACCCAGGTTGGCCATGCCGTATAGCAATGGCGAACCACCTTTTGGCTCTCAAACATTCAATATCATTGCACATCAGAATCATATCATATAACATCATATCATATCAATATATAATATCAATTATCAATGTGGGTTCACTAGGCCACCAAAAAAGTCAACTGTCAAATCTGTCAACTGTACCCAAGTGCAAATGCCCCTCTCACGAAGCTCTGGCCTGCGAAAGGTAAACAGCACCCGCACAAGAGGCTGAGAATCGCGCAAACAGCCTGAGGGGTCTCAAGTCAAAGCGCTGTCAAAGATTCTTGCCCTAAAAAGGCGTACTTTGATGTACTTGTATGAAGTGCAGTATAGTTACTATACGGATGAGGTCGTATCATGCTGTATCTTGTCACGCTGGAGACGTCGACTTGTCATAGTCTAGCCATGCCTAGGCCTCGCCGCGATGGTTCATTCCATTTCAGCCAAGAGACGGTCATCCCATTGGCTTTGCGATAGTTTTGGTATCCTCCCACACGGTTCAAATATGCAGCCTTGCAGCTTTCCAGTGGATGTCATGTCTGATTCGATCTGCTTCCAGCAGCCACGCTCTGGTATCATCGTTCTCTGACGTCTTATATATACGGTAACTACATTTAAATACCCTATGCTTCCAAAGGACATATCTGGTATAGTCGTTACGTGCTAGCCTATACCGGGGTTTTGGAGGCTATACCAGGATGTTTTCCTGTTATAGGCGAGCAGTTTTCCCAGTATAGGCTTTCATGAAATCCCTGTATAGGCGTTCATGATTTCCCTGTATAGGCGCTAAGCCCCTTGAGTCCATACGTATAGGCTGTGAACCATCCCCTGCGCAATCTAGATTGTATTTTGCAAGCTATTTCATTTGTGTGCGCGAACCCGACCTCGTGTTTGCTCATTGAAGCTGGGCACAAACAAACCGCCAAAAGTCAAAACAAACAGCCATCAAAAAAAAAACAAAAACGATTTCAGATTTTTTTGTGATCCCCGAATCCATGTCCCGGTATAGGCGTTCCACGTCCCACTATAGGCGTTCCACGTCCCAGTATAGGCGTTCCACGTCCCAGCATGGGCGTTCCACGAGTTGTCCTCGGGTTGTCCTCGGCTCCCTGTGCTTTCAACATGTCATTTTTTTTCTTGCTGAAATTCTCTGAATCTTTCTGATATCCTGATTCAAACTCCCGAGCGCATGCTCGTTTCCAAGAAAAATCTACATCGTTTTTTTTCTGCTGGGCATTTGTGGACAATCCAAAGGGGTCTTAGCATATCCTATTACTATTCGTTGGGCCAGTATCCTGGTATATCCTGGTATAACCCTTAGGCCACTCCCGGTATAGTCGTTCGTGGCTTCCTGGTATGTCCGAGGTGTTATCCTGGTATGTTCGAGCGAAACCCGGTATGTTCGAGCATTCCCAGTATGTTCGAGGCTATACCAGATATGGTCGAGGAAGCATAGGGAATATACGGGTTTTTTAATATACGAACAGGTATTTTAGACTACCCCCGGAAAGATTTTCCTTGGCCCGCCCAGCCATTTAAGCATACGGAATACAATTCATTTAAACATAATACGGTAACTACATTTAAACATACGAACTGGTATTTCATACTACCTCCGGGGCCTCGCGGTCTGGCCCGCCCTCCACATATTTAAATGTTGTTACATGTTGTTACCGTATATATATATATATATATATACACCAGCAAGCTACTGATCCATGATGTTGTCTCTGTCAAGCCACTTAGTAGCCTCCAACTGTCGCAAGCATTCTTTACCTTCGTCCCCCCTGACATCATCTGCCGAAAGACTCCAGATAGGATTCCACCGATAGGCCCAACTGTGATGACGAGACTGACCTGAGGAACAGCTCTGAGCAAAAGTCAGAAGGTTGCGAATAAAAATTGCCGGCTAATTATGTGAAGCATATTAATTATTACTATTACATACTACGAGTATTGCATACTATTACTACTTGTCATGTCAAGGCAGGATGATTCCAGTGCAGTAGCATGAATTGGCATGCTCACCACCAAGTCGCGGCTATGTAGATGGACCGCGGCGACCAATGGAAAACCGCGCCGAGGGCTTGGGTTATGAAGTATAACCTGAGTTCAGCTCGGCTCTTGGCAATGAGATGAAGCATGTTGAAGCATGTTGAAGCATGAAGCAAATTGGGACAGCCCCCTTCCGCAAGACCTACAAGCGATCGAAGCCGTACTGAGAAAAACTGTCTTGCATTGTCTTGCATTGTCTTGCAGTCTTGCATCCTGGGAGCATGAACCCGACCGAACCGGATTGAAAACATCCAGCAGCCAGCGTGCACAGGAACAGCCCTGAGCCTTGGCTGGAAGCACGCGCACCCAATCACAGCTGCACTGATGGCCGGTCACAGTTGTCAGGGAATGATTGCTGTTTCTTCATGTTTAAGGCATTCACGCATCAGCATCATCAGTTGTGCACAAAACCCTCACACCACGAGACCTCCAAGGGCCCGAAGCTCTTTTGGAATGAATGACTTCCGGTCGCCTGGGAAATGCAAAACAAGTCTCCAAGATCAGGAATTAGCGGCGAGCACCGCTACTGGTAATTACAGCTTGTTCCAAATGATTTTGGACAACGCTTTGCCCCAAAAAATGCCCTGGTCCTCTGTCCCCCTTTTTGGGCCTGATTGTTTCTCCTTTGCGTCTTCTTTCGCACCTGCTGCTTCTGACTGCTCGACCTCAAGAAGCACAAGAACTTCTACTGTACATTCACATTCTAAGTATTTCTGCATCATCCTGCGTTCATCCACCTTGCAAATAACATCAAATAACAAAGGGTCCCCCCACAAAATCTATCAAAATCTGGAGGTGCCAAGGTCTCTGTATGTCTTAATTACTGATCCTGAAGAGGGCCCAGACACCCGCACCACGTCAGGGTCAAACCGGCTTCCCAACAGGCCGCAAGAGAACATCAGCAACGCTTCCAATAGATATAGAGTCTCCTAGGATGCAGCAGCGGGATTGAAACTGTAAAAGAATACTGGTGAAAACATGTGAAAACAACAGGCCATAAATTGAACTGCATCGTGGTTTGCAACTCTCATATTGATCATATATGGCCGAAACAAATCACCATGCCACCATCTTTAAACCTTTTCTTGCAACAAACCGTCATGATATGTGCAGCAAACCCAACATCTACCGACCAAGCGAACACATCAAGTCGAGACTCCCAAGTGGCAATCCCCGTGGCACGGGCCAAGCCGCCAATCACCTTGAGCAACATATGATCCAAACCAAGTGCAAAATGTATGAAACTGTAGTGTAGCAGTAACAAAATCACACAGTGTCAAATAATATTTATATCAATTCAAATATTTCTAATATAATATTCGATCTGTGACAGGCCGAAGAGAAATGAGATTCTGCAATGACACAATGAAGTGTCACATCAACAACCAGGTGGGGCCAACAATTAAGCATCTCATCAAGGAAATTCAGGCTCAGGAAGCCACATAGCCGCTTACAATTCCTGTCAGCAGCATTGCATTGATTCCGGCCATCCACAGCGTTCGCTTGTCAGTGGGCCCATACCTGCCACACAGTGTGCACAGGCTGCCTGACTCATAAGAAGGACGTCTGCCACCACCACTAGTGCCGACGCTTCCAGAACAAAATGAGTGTCTCAAACCAAATAATAAGTTTTTTGTTGTTTGCAATGATACCCAGCTCCAACTGGCAGGGCCTTTGATTGTGACACTTGCAAAAGGATCCAGTGAACGTAATACCAAATGATGCAGCTCAGGGAATGCACACCCTCAAACGAGCATATAGGGAATCAACAAATACTCTTATCTTATGGATCAAAAAATCTTCCCGCGGCATCAACAAGAAAATATTGTCGGATCAAAAACACATTATTCATTATTCCCCATCTGTAGTAGCAGTACTGACAGTAACAGTAGCAGTAGCAATACCAATAGCAGTAGCAGTACTAGCAGCACCAGTGGCAGCAGCAGTACCATAGTAGCAGCAGCAGCAGTAGTGGTACTAGTATGTAATAGTGATAGTAGTCGTAGTAGTAGCAGTAGTAGTAGTGGTGGTAGTAGTAGTAGCAGTAGCAGCAGCATTGTACTGGTAGCACTAATAGTAGGAGCAGTACAGTAGTAGTTGTAGTAGAAGTCGTATTATCATATTTACTTGAATTCATTGTGTTGGGCTGAAACATTTAGGATGTGTTTTAAACTTTATTTAGGGATGGGGTAAGCTTTATTAATGCTTTTTTTGAACTTTATTTAAGGTTGCTTTATGGTTGATTTTAAATTTGCATATATAAATGTTATTTATTCATTTCGGATCATTTCGGGTTAGTTTAGGGTATATTTAGGGTGTGCCTATGGTTGGTATTTGGGATCGCTTTTAGGTTTCTTTACGGTTGGTTGTAAGTCTTGTTGGTTGGCTGGTTAAGGTTTATTTAGGGTTGGTTTCAGGGTAAGGTTGGCTTAGTTTTTATTTAGGGTCGGTCTAGCTTCGAGTTTTTTAATGCGTGGTTTTGGATTTATTATGATTTATTTGGGGTTGGCTTCAGGTTTATTTGAGTTTGTTTTGAACTTGCTTAGTGACGGTTTAATGCATGATTAGGGTCGCTTTAGTGTTAATTTATATACGGTATATATATTAGTTTAAGTTAAGGCTTATCATTTAGAGCGGGCGTGTTTTGACTTTTAAGGACTGTGGTTTGGCGGTTTGGTGTTATTTAAAGGTTTGCTTCGGGTTTGGGGGGGGGTGGTTCAAAGTTTGCCTTGAGTTTCTGTAGGTTTGATGGATTCAGTGCTTTTAAGAATTGCTTCTACGCTTCCTACCTTCCTTCCTTGTAGTTCTTTAATTTATATTCTTTTATCGGAAATGTGTTTGTTTGATCCATCAAATATGTATGTCCTATAGATTTAAAGAAATCTCTCCCCTCACCGCTTATTTCAAAAAACTGCGACAGTCTGAAATCCGAAAACGATATTATCACACATGCAACTTGGCTCATGGGGCTGCCTGTTCACCCATGTGGGGTAGTGTACAGCAGCAAGACCCCAGCACAAGCCACCAATAGCGCGAGCTGCAACGAGTGTGTGCCTATAGCAGGCGTCTGTGGGATTCTTGGGTTCCACCACAGATGACAAAACTGGAAAACGGGGGAATAAGACTATTGAATAAAGATGGAATAAGATGGAATCAGTTCGGAATAAGTGTGTGTATATATATAATTATATATATATATAAATCCGAAGGCTACGGCTATATACTCCTGGCAGAAAATAAACCATCTTGTGATATCTTGTGTTCAGCGTTGGGTGGGGTGCAAACATGTTTGTTGGGGACAATAGGCATGTAGGCTACATGCACAGTAGACACCACATCCCAGTGCCAGTGCTGTCCAAGACTGGACCATGTTCGAAAGTATTGGAGTCTGGCTTGCAGCTCCATCATGTTTGAAAGACCTTGATGATCGAATCCCCAAGCAACAGGACGTTGGAGTCACCGCTATCAAGAATTACTGGAACAGTGTTCTGCTGTTTTGCTGCCAAATCGCAAGCTAGGTAGCAGCGCGCACGCAAGCGAAACTGCAGAAATCACAAAGTAACCAATGGTCAACACCTCAGCCGAAAAAAATATGCTTGACTTGTACGGATAGCAAATAGTAGTCGTCTTCGACGAAATGGATGCATGAGCAACCCTAGTGTTTAAAATCTCTTGGAAAATCATGGAAAATCCCTTGGTATGGTTGGTTGATGCGGATTTTCGTAATGGATTTTGATGGCTTATGACCGTTCCCTATGTAATCCAAGTCACAGTACCCGGAATTGGGTAGCATAACCATAACATACTATAACAATCTATAACATACTATAACCCCCTACAATCGTCAACCAACTTGGCTTGTCATATGGGAATGATAGGTACAGTCGACTGGTTTAGTTACATCATGTTTTCCCAAATCCATGCGTTTCCTCTGCGGAGAAATCGATGCGAGGGGGTCACAGCAGGGTAAAATAGATACATACATTTTACACGTATCGATGCGACTAAACCACTTGACTGTACTGCAGCTGTATATGTTTTGAATTGTTTTGAGCATTCACATGTATACAGAAGTGAACCAGGCTCTGTACTTCTGTGTGAGTTTTGGATCATTGGCGCTTTAGGAGCCATTCACGAATGGTTTTCAAGCTCCACCGTCTGATTCATGGCAAGGAGCAGAGAAGGGCGAAAAGCGTTTGAAGATTGCCTCAGGTACAAATTATATAAATTATATATATCAAATTATCTGATCACATCATATCAATTCATATCACATCAGTGAATTCGACTCTATGTCTATTGGCTCTTCCAAATATAACGCATGCCAATGGGCGAAACAAAAAGAGCGGCACACAATGAGCTCTTCGAAGCTCTTCGCCGACAAGTGGCCATGGCCAAAAGGCCGCTTGGAACAATTCCATAGTCTGGAGAACCTGCAACATTGCCCTGACTGGTGTAGGTCAGCTGCAGGCCTTGCGAACAGGACTGATCCACGTGCACTCTGCTAGAATGCTGTCTAATTGGCACAGCGGCACATTGTCAAGTGGCAGGACTTGCAGACCAAAAGTACAAGAAATCTGGGGATCGAGGTCATACAAAGCTCAAGGGCAGAAAATTGTTCATTACATCGATGCATCCCCTGCCTTGTCGAATGGCCGGCATCATAGATGCCACTACACCAGCTTCAAATGAGCGAACTGCGGTGGACAGCAAAATAAACCCATAGTATCCTTAGACGGCAAGCAGCATCACCCAACACCATCTCGTCGTGCAAAGCATGCTTAGATGAAATGTATGTATAATGCATTATGATGAGAAGGAGCGTTTGTTTAGATCACCGAGGCGTGCTAAGCAAATTGACTCCACGACTCAAATGCACTCTCTGTTTTTAGTCAAGGATCTCTTCTGAGATTTTGTGTTTTCCGTGCCTCATACACTTCGGCAAGGCATCTCATGTGCACTGGATACAGAAAACACAGCAGCCTTCGCTCAAATAAGTGGAGTTTTTTACCGGCCTTCTGATGCAGAAACTATTGCTTTGCGTCTCTTCCGCTGCAACCGCCAACGTCTGTGCAAAAGAACTCCAGCACCGGCTAAGCACAGGTTCTGCTGACCTCAAGTTCCCGAAAATGATCCACAATGCCCATGGCATTCCTTCAGCTTAGCAAAGGCGTGAAACTGACACCAGGAAGCACACTACATCCCGTGCCATTTTTCTTGTATGGTCTGGTGGCCTCCACCTGAGACCTCACATTAAACCTGCTTGTGACAACCTCATCCATTGACAAACTTAATGCTGTCCGACGATCCGACTTCTGCCGTATTTTGCACAACCGAGTCACATCTGGATGTGATCCAGGGCGCTGCATCGGAAGCGAGCGGCAGCCGACGGTCTTTTGCAGGCTCAAGGGGCGCAGTGATGAGATAACTGCCCTGGAAGAAGCTGCAAATGGCTCATGCCGACCCGCGTGATACTTTGTTCTTTCTCTCCATATATATAAAATCATCCAAAAACAACGAGATAGATTGATATATATATGTGTGTGTGTGTGTGATAAGAATATACATTCATATGGGAGAGAGAGAGAGAGAGAGAGATAATAGTGGTAGTGGTAGTGGTAGTGGTAGTGGTACTGGTAGTGGTAGTGGTAGTGGTGGTAGTAGTACTAATGTAGTACTAAATAATGTATATACATGTATAACTGCATATATAACATGTATATATATACTACTACCAGTACAACAACAAGAATAAACTACTACTAGCACCACTGCTAGTAATACTATTAATTACTAGTGCTTCTAGTACTATATATTACCATTACATACTATTACTACTGGTATATACTACTGGTACTACTAGTAGTACTAGTACTACTAGAACTACAGTACTTTATACCTTTGCTACTATTACTACTACTACTACTACTACTACTAGTAGTACTAGTACTACTACTACTAGTACTACTAGTACTACTAGTACTACTACTACTACTAGTACTACTACTACTACTACTGCTACTACTAGTACTACTACTAGTACTACTACTAGTACTACTACTACTACTACTACTACTACTACTACTACTACTACTACTACTAGTATGAATTGGAAACGGGATCGTCAAATGCCCAACTTTTACCACGGCAGCGCGGTATGACTCAAGGGCCCTAAAGCCAAATGTCAACGGGGCATGTGATCACTTGGCTATACAAAATATACATTAGACAGGTCAAACTCACACTCAACCTGTTCTTCAAGGATCACATGATGCTAGTGAAAAAGTTGGCTCTAAGGCTTCTTCTGTACACGATAAATGCACTCCTTCAAAACGCGGATAATGAGGTCCGGGCGCATGCTCTTGGTCAGAGCATCCGAGACCATAATCCCTGTAGCAATCCAGGTAACAATGTCTCCTCCGCCATGATGCATATCCCAGGTCCTCCGGCCGTCTTGCCAAAGTGACTCATGAATCGACTGCAACTCAATGCCGAGTCGTTTGTCTGCGACCCTGCCGAGTACCTCACTCGCAAGATGGTCTGTTAAAGACCTGCAGTCTGAAAGCATCAGTTGTGGAATGCAGCTGCGGCTGTCATCCAACCATGTTTTCATCGAGTCAAGTTGGCCCATCAGCTCGGCCAATGCTCCACGTAGCTTGTCACCGCTCTCTTGTCCAGCCTGCAGTGAATAAGCCTCGCATTGAAGAGTGCTGCGGCATACTCGCCGAATTGTATTTGATGCAAATCCCAATGGCATCACCCTGTAGGATGTAGTTTTGGGGTCTTTGATCTCATTGATGTCTCCAAGGAAATGGAAACGACCTTGTTGTGATTTGTAATTCTTCTCATTTGAAAATGAAGCATCTGTTACTGTAATGATACCAACCTCTCCCCAGGTTAGATGTCCACCTGGAAAAATGAGCTTGTTCTCAATGCCTTGTTGTGCCAGCTGTACTACGGCATTTGCGTCGTGCAAAATAGCAACTGTCGCTCCAGAAATACTGGACTGTAGGCGGCTCACACGATAACCCAAATCGGGTCTAGTCTGTCTTGCCACCCATGCCAATGATCCCGTTACAGACCGTAATCGGGTCACATCATCCTTACCCAACGGCTCGGACGCTGATCTTCCTGGCGCGATCTTGATCGGCTTTATGCGACGGGTGTTGTCACAAGTGTCTTGTGTGATTGTTCCATCTGCAGTACGCTCAAATTGCTTGCCACAATAGCGAAACGAATTTGATTCACTAGATCCCAAGTTGAACTTCTCCAAGAAGCTGTCGATCACTGACTTCCCTTCAGGAATGTATGCGTACAAGATGTCATCCACATGTGTCGCCATAAGTGCAACGCAATCTTTGTCGGTTCCTGGAAGGAAATACAATCCGGGGTAAAACTTGGATTGTTTCAAGCCACTGGATCGGGCATCTCCGTCCAACCTCAACCAAAAACCTCGACCGCTGTCAGTCAATCCATATATAGGCACCCGCACAAGGAAAAACACCTCTGGATCAACTCCCGGGAGACCTCCTCGGGGTTGTCTCATAATGAGAACTCTATCAAGAGGACGACCTTGGAAATATGCGGATGCGACGTCCGCACTGTGCAATTGTGCGCCCTGGATCGCCGCCCAACAGCAAAGAATGTTGTGAGCTTCCGTATCTGCTGTAGGACTGTCTGATCTCAAACCTTCACTGACTTCGAAATTGCCGCATGATACCAACCGGCTCTTGAACTTTGGCACGTATTCTTGATCTGATCTTCCTTTCATGAACTGATTCTTGTCAACATCAACCCACTTGCTAGGAATACATTGATGTCCTTCAGCAATCAACCTCTCAGCATCTTCTTTTGAGATTTCAACAACAGCAGCGAACTCAAGGAACTTGCTCCACTCCTTGGCTCTGGCATCCATGATGTTCTTCTGTACATCAGGTGACGCTGATTCATAGTGGATTGATTTCAACACTTTCTTACCTTGCTCTTCGTCCTCAGGGACTTCAACTTCCTGGGACAAAAATGATGCAAACAATGCTCGTGCTTCTTGTTGTTCTTCAGGACTTCGTTCTGAGTCTCTCTCACGAGCTCTTTCAAGATGTGTTCGCAATTGATGTGGTAAGTCATTCAAAAGTTCTCTTCGTAATGGCCAAGATGATGCTGACGGCGAGGATAGTGGTCCCAAAACGGAGCCACTTGGAGTAGAATCAGGCACAAAGGAGTCTCTCCGAGATGGCACAAGTGATGAGCCTCTCTCCGACTCAGGTTGTAGGTGAGACTCTACTCGAGGTCTCACATTGCGTTCATGATCTCCATCTCCTGGATGTGGTCTTTCAACTCTTCTTTCTGGGGTTCTACTCTGTGAAAAGATGTCTTCTTCCATTGGACCTGTATCTTCCTCCTCCTCATCTTCTTCAAAGAAACCGGGCCGTATATCCCATTCCTCTTCAGATACTTCTGGTATAGGAGGAAGTGCTGAATCCACATTGCCTTCATGGACAACCTCAACATCATCTGCTTGTCCTGGACCATCACGAACAACTTCAACCTCATCTGTCTTGCATCAAGAAACGCTTGTTGACCTGTATCATTGATGATCTTGTATGGAATCACAGGTTCACCATTCAACACTGATTGAGCAAGAGCTTCAGAAGGAGAAGCAATGCGTATGTTGTGAGAAGCTACAAGTACTGGAACGTTACCACATAGTAACCATATGTTCTTCTGGTTCTCGTGTCCGATCACACGACATGTTGGTGACCAGGACGTTCCTCCTCGCTGATTGTCTCGTCTGAAAGTGACGAGGTCACCAATGTTGAATTCACGATCAAACACACTGGCATTGCGTGTCAACGCTCGTTGAACTCTTCTTGAACAATCAAGATGAACAAAAGCCTTTTGTGCCTCAATCCTGGCCAAATGTTGTAATGCAAAAATTGATGAAGGGTCATGTCGGGCCTGAATGGCTCCGAGCTGTGCGTGATCTTCCTCTGACATGAGTGAAGCTACACCACGGGGAGCTCGACCGAGCACCCACTGAGATGGAGAAAATCCTCCAACACGCGCGGAGTCGTTCTTCACACTGAGCACCTGTGTGATGCACGACTCAACCTGTTCTTTGGTACAAGCCCCAGCTTCTGTACACACTCGCCTGAAAAGAGCTTTCAACAAACCACCATGCCTCTCTACTCGGCCCAATGATTCCGGGCTCTCAAGGGGCACATGGTGCACTTGAATGTTATGTTCATCCATGTATTGTTGTAAGACACCACGATTGTGCAAACCACGGTCACACATGATAGCAACAGGATGTCCTGCCCAACTGAACCAACGTTTAATGAGTGCGTCCAAACAGGATCGCGAAGAAGCTTGACCTGCTCCAACCTTCACAACCTCAGCCTGTTGAAAACAAGTACCAATGCAAACCATGTTGAGAACTTGATACTTCTGTCCAGTTACATCTGTCAACTCCAATACATCAATCCCCAAAGTATGGTTAAATGTGTAATCACTGGGAAGCGTGACCTTGTGAGTGGGTTTCTTGGCTGATGTTTTCTGACATGTTTCACATCTATGCAATTTCACTGCATCAACAAACTCCTTACTCACCTTTGCAGCACGCACCAAATTGACCATCACCGACTTGGGGACATGTCCAAAAGCCCTGTGCAATCTACGCGCAGCAATCCTGACACGCTGGGGAAGTTTGCGCCAAGACCTACGTCTTTCTGTTTCATCCTCTGGCAAACCAGGGATATCAACTTCATCCAAAAGAGTCTCTTCATGTGTCAGGTCCTCAACCGGATCCTGCAATGCAACATCTTCTGGGCCATCGACTGCATCCCAGTTCCCACCATGTTCCTGAGCCTCTTCGATGATCTCTGCTGGAAAGGCAACGCTCATCTGCTCCTCCAATTCACGTTCAAGTGACCAATCACGAATCCATTGACAAAACTCCCAATTCAAAACGTCATCCAATTGTCGATACATAGACCAGTCCTGAAAACCTTGAATGAGTTCATCATCATTTGACACAAAAGCAAGACCAACTTCATTGATGTATGGTATCTGTGGTGTTTTGAATGATTCCCATCGTTCAGTGTGTGCGACATCAACAATGAGAAACCTACACCCTGTGGCATCACAATACTGTTCCAACTCAAATACAAGATCCCCATGACACAGTGGATAATGTTCTGACTTGTATTCAATTGCAACAATGACCAATATGCAACCTTCGAACATGTCTTTCCAACCGTGTTGCTCAGCATCACCGTCCAAGTACGCAGCATTCATGCCAACGTCATAGGTGTGCTCGAAAAAATCCTGGAAAAGAGTCGGATGTGACGTGATGATTGCAACCCCTGATGTC